ATTCCCCAACCCCACCCACCCACCCAAGCAAGCTGATCTACTTCCTCAAATAGAGTAACTGCACTTCTCAGGCCCAGCTTCGCTCTAGTCATGAGGGACCCTTTACCTCACCCAGCGCAGGCTCTTGGTCCCCCAGGCCCACAATGAGAATGCAATCAGCTTGCCGGATGCAACGCACTGTCCAAGGGGTCAAGGTGTAATCGGTCTGGTACAGGACAATGCGGTGGATGTCCTCTTGCTGAGCGAGCCAGCCAGACAGCCGATATTCATGGATACTGTAAGGGAAGAAAGGCAGAAGAAAGTTTTCTTATTCCAGCCTCACTAGCAGCACTGTAAGGAGGGAAGGGGGATAGAATGTGTCCAGAAAAACAAGCCAACATCTCTTTCCATCTTAGACTTTTCAGGATCCTACCCAACCATCTTTGTCTTTCCAGAAACCCAATGCTGCCCAAGACTGGATCTTCAAAGGGGCAAAAGCTATTCCTTGGTGTTCCTTTTCCTTGGGGATGAGGATTTTTTTAAAAAGATGAAGATTGGCCTCTTTCAAATCATCTTACTTGAAGAGACAGAACTCATGTACAAACTCACACATCTCATATCAATACGTATTGTTCAGACTCATGAGGCAACCCTGTATATTTTGTGCAAACACTTTGCTGATCAGTAGCTAATACCCATGATCCAATGGATGAGGGTGAGTTTAAGAATGGGAAAGGGAGATTTTTATTGAGGTCTTGCATGGTGGCTTTGAGAAAATCAAACCTTCCCAACTTCAGTTTCATGACTGGAAAAAAATTAGACGTCTGGAAGCACCTTTTACAAATTTTATTAAAAGGCATAAGCTTTTGTGAGCTGCAGCCACTTTATCAGATGAAAAGAGGAAGAGCACAAATAAAGCTCAGCAAACAAATTAAAAATGCGACACAGTCTATATATAATAGCTCTACCTGGATAACAGAAATCTTCGTCCCTATCTTTACTTGGTGCCCCACACAACCTTCTTCCTTCCCTCACAACATTTGTATTGACACTTAGTCTCAATATGGTTGTCATGATGACAATGCATCCTAGATGCATTGGTGGAAATATCTGCCAGTGTACTTCTCTCACGGACAGACAGAACAGCTAAAACAGAACATAATGCAGACTGGGAATAGCACAGGGGAGGAGAGGAGACATGCCATATCCCAATTCCATACTCAGTGTCTGTGGTTATACCTTTCTGCTTACAAGCTTATGTGTGTTCCCAACCCACCTATCCAGTGCTGATGCCCCAAGACGAGCACGGATAATGTCACTGGTGAGCAGCAGGGTTGGGCCTGTGAAGAAAAAGAAGAATGGGTCATGACAAAAGCAGCAGGCCAAGCAACACAAGAAAAGAGAGCACTGATAGAGCTCACCAATGGCATTCAGAGCATGTTTGAGTTCCAAGGTGAAGGCAGCCATGGGCACATCATCACACACGGGAAGGACTGCCACTGTTGAGAGGTTACTAGCTGGATTGGTCAGTTCTGAGCTGGATGCCATGCCAAGACCTGAACCTACATGGGAGACAATGATGACTGAAACACAAATGCCTGAAGTATCTGGCAGGAGCATTAGATACTTGCAGCCACAATCCCTTGCTTTCTCTCATGCTGGGATGCTCCTTCAAGCCCAGATGCTTTATGGGTCATAGGGCGACAAGTTGGTGCGTGGCCTGAAGAGGGACACTCTTACCTGGGAAAGGGCCACGTAACTGCTGCAGGTTCCCCAAGATCTTCTGACTCAGTAGGTGGATAAGGCGGGTGACAACCTATGTAAGGCATTAGCAGATTGGAGAATGCCAGTGCCCAGAATCTGAGCAATTATACATATGCACAATCATTTGTGAGTATGTGAAATACCAAGCTGATGTGGTGCTAGGCTGACCTTCTTAAACTGATATTCTTCCTATTCACATTAAAAAAGTGCTTACAATACCCTGTCACTGCATCCCTCCATATTAAAATGCAATTCTACATGTATCCTAGAGTATTTCCCTAGATATCATACTTAGTATAACTTTAGTCCATTCTGGAAAAAGCATACTATCTGCAATGAATCCAGCTTACTCAGAAGATCGCATGGTTTGCTACAATATGGAGACACAGCATCTTCTGTTATGATTTCCACTTGATAACCTTCTGAAGACATGGTGTCTGTAGGGGTTACAGTGTTTTTCTCTTACTGTAATTGAGCAAGTTCATAACAGTCAAGAAAAACTCAACATGAGGGTTTACTTTCCATCTCAATTCTGATCATAAAGTGACCCTGAAAAACTAGCATCCTACCACATATATGGTTTTGTTGGGGCTGTCCAAAGAGTTTGCCGACAGAAGAGATTAACAGTGCCATCATCTGTTTTATTAACCCATGGTGAGTCAAGTCAGATAAAGAAGTGGAGCAGCTCTCTACTCTATACATTCATTTTCCAGCTCAGTATCCTGTAAAGCTTTGCAATCTTTCTTTGTGTTTATACTCACTGTTTCTAAACACTTACAAAGCATCTCTACCTGACCATGTCTGTGTCCAAAAGATACATATTATGCCACACATATCCTATATGTACAATGTACACACACATCTTACAAACTGAGTGGAAAAAATCTGCAGAACCATTTGCAAATTCAGGAATCAGATGTATACCAGGAGTTGCAGAGCTTAGTTCAAATGGAACATGTGGAGAATCCCTGAGCATTCACCTGAGGGTAGCGTCTTTTGATGTTGTTGAGAGTCCCTTCTGGCAACTTGGCCAACTCTGTGTCCCGCACAGCATGGACAGTAGTAGCTCGGGCTTGACGGGTCAGAGCTTCTACCTAGGTCACAAGAAATGGGTCATGGTAGGTAAGCCACATCACAGGCTTCCTACCATGAAAAAAAGTGCTCCTCAGCTATTGAAACCATCTTGGTAATAATAATTTAGGGGCCAAGAATAGGATATCCAGGAGAGAATAAAACTTGGCAAACAGAGATGCTCTTCTATGGGTATGCACAGATTGTCCTCACTCAACAACGCTAATTGGGACTGGAATTTCCATTGCTAAATGATGTGCTCATAAAGCACAACGTCATATGAATGCCCCACTTAGCAATGGCAGTCCCTGGTTACCATCGTTAAGTGAGGACCAGGTGGGTCGTTAAATGAGGACCTCACATGATTGTGACTTCCTAATATATAATTTTGATTAAGGATTTTGATTACAATATAAAAACTAATGCAAACTAAACTTAAAGAGAAGAGAAAGAATAAAAAGTGCATGAAAAAAGAAAAAGAAAGAATAAAGAAAAAAAGAAATATTTGTAGAAGTGACTTCCAACCTTCATTACAACAAGTATAGACAAATTTAGCAATTCTTCACCCCCATAAGGTTACAAACAGATATCTCTTCATCCCATAT